AGCGTGACACAGATAAGGAACTGAAAGTTGAGGTGCAGGAATTTGTAACAGAGGTTGATGTAGATAAAGAATCACCTACTGATGGCATGAAAGTAAAGGGCAAAGTGAGAAAGCACAAGAAAAAGATTACAAAGGTTGAGAAAACCATCACAACTGTACAGACCGCTGGTGTAGAAGCCATTTCTCCAACACTGGAGTTCCATCTCACCTCACCTGAAATTAAGACTGTAGAAGAAGAGGGTGAAGTAAAGGAAGTTTCTCCACAAACCAGAGTCACAGTGTCAGTTTATGAAGAGCAAGTAAAAGTCAGCACACCAGAACCTGAAACCATCACGGTGGAAGTAGCCGTTAAAACTGAAGAGGGCGTAGAAAAAGAAGAGTCTGTACAGGAGGTCTCGACGGTCCTTACCGAAGTAACATCTGCAGTGGTAGAGGAGGAGGAAGTATCATTCGGATGGAAGTTGCCCCCATTCAAAATCCCACTCTTCAGTGCCACAGAAGTTACCACAGAATCTTCTGTGGATGAGCCCAGAGAAGCAGCTCCAGAAACCATTGCTGAAACAACACTTGAGAAATCCACAGAAGAAATGTCAACTGTAACAACCGAAAAAACAGCATATGAAGCAGATAAAGAAGAACCCATAGATGAAGTAGACACGGCAGATAAAAAAGCAGAGATTTCTCTTTCCGAAGGTGAAGTGAAAACTCCCGAAGCAGAAACAGAATCAGAAGGCTGGAAGCTTCCATCCTTCAGGCTGCCAACATTTTCCTTATTCGGCACATCAGAATTGAAAGCAGAAGATGCTTTAAAAGAAATATCTACAGAACCTGCAAGAAAGACAACAACTGAGACAGAGGTAGTCACAGAGGCTAGAACCACTATTGGTGATACCAGTGAAACAGCCAAATCATTACCAAAGTCAGAAGAACGTGTGCAAATCACCAAAACAATAATGGAGAGCGTAGTGGTGGAGGGCCAAGACAGAAGCATAGAAGAAATGGAAAGTGCTTGGAAAGTTTCACTATCATCATTCCAAATTCCAGTCCTGAGTAAAGAAGAACAAAGCCTGAGTATTGCTTCCAAAACAATCTCTTTCATGGATGACATTGACAGGCGTGAGATAGTCACAGACATTCTTACAGCAGAGGGCAAGGAGGAGGTGGAGCCCATGCATTTGGAATCTGCATTTGAAGCACCCTCAACTGAAGGAGCCAAATCTGACATAACAGGAGCAGTTGTGGAAAAAGTATACACTGAAGAGGTAAAGTCAGAGGCATCTGAAGAGTCACCAATACCCAAAGAGCGTGACACAGATAAGGAACTGAAAGTTGAGGTGCAGGAATTTGTAACAGAGGTTGATGTAGATAAAGAATCACCTACTGATGGCATGAAAGTAAAGGGCAAAGTGAGAAAGCACAAGAAAAAGATTACAAAGGTTGAGAAAACCATCACAACTGTACAGACCGCTGGTGTAGAAGCCATTTCTCCAACACTGGAGTTCCATCTCACCTCACCTGAAATTAAGACTGTAGAAGAAGAGGGTGAAGTAAAGGAAGTTTCTCCACAAACCCAAGTCACAGTGTCAGTTTATGAAGAGCAAGTAAAAGTCAGCACACCAGAACCTGAAACCATCACGGTGGAAGTAGCCGTTAAAACTGAAGAGGGCGTAGAAAAAGAAGAGTCTGTACAGGAGGTCTCGACGGTCCTTACCGAAGTAACATCTGCAGTGGTAGAGGAGGAGGAAGTATCATTCGGATGGAAGTTGCCCCCATTCAAAATCCCACTCTTCAGTGCCACAGAAGTTACCACAGAATCTTCTGTGGATGAGCCCAGAGAAGCAGCTCCAGAAACCATTGCTGAAACAACACTTGAGAAATCCACAGAAGAAATGTCAACTGTAACAACCGAAAAAACAGCATATGAAGCAGATAAAGAAGAACCCATAGATGAAGTAGACACGGAAGATAAAAAAGCAGAGATTTCTCTTTCCGAAGGTGGAGTGAAAACTCCCGAAGCAGAAACAGAATCAGAAGGCTGGAAGCTTCCATCCTTCAGGCTGCCAACATTTTCCTTATTCGGCACATCAGAATTGAAAGCAGAAGATGCTTTAAAAGAAATATCTACAGAACCTGCAAGAAAGACAACAACTGAGACAGAGGTAGTCACAGAGGCTAGAACCACTATTGGTGATACCAGTGAAACAGCCAAATCATTACCAAAGTCAGAAGAACGTGTGCAAATCACCAAAACAATAGTGGAGAGCGTAGTGGTGGAGGGCCAAGACAGAAGCATAGAAGAAATGGAAAGTGCTTGGAAAGTTTCACTATCATCATTCCAAATTCCAGTCCTGATTAAAGAAGAACAAAGCCTGAGTATTGCTTCCAAAACAATCTCTTTCATCGATGACATTGAAAGGCGTGAGATAGTCACAGACATTCTTACAGCAGAGGGCAGAGAGGAGGTGGAGCCCGTGCATTTGGAATCTACATTTGAAGCACCCTCAACTGAAGGAGTCGAATCTGAGATAACGGGAGCAGTTGTGGACAAAGTATACACTGAAGAGGAAAAGTCAGAGGCATCTGAAGAGTCACCAATACCCAAAGAGCGTGACACAGATAAGGAACTGAAAGTTGAGGTGCAGGAAATTGTAACAGAGGAGGTTGATGTAGATAAAGAATCACCTACTGAAGGCATGAAAGTAAAGGGCAAAGTGAGAAAGCACAAGAAAAAGATTACAAAGGTTGAGAAAACCATCACAACTGTACAGACCGCTGGTGTAGAAGCCGTTTCTCCAACACTGGAGTTCCATCTCACCACCCCTGAAATTAAGACCGTAGCAGAAGAGGGTGAAGTAAAAGAAGTTTCTCCTCAAACCCAAGTCACAGTGTCAGTTTATGAAGAACAAGTAAAAGTCAGCACACCAGAACCTGAAACCATCACTGTGGAAGTTGCAGTTAAAACTGAAGAGGGCGTAGAAAAAGAAGAGGCTGTACAAGAGGTCTCAACGGTCTTTTCCAAAGTAACATCTGCAGTGGTAGAGGAGGAGGAAGTATCATCTGGATGGAAGTTGCCCACATTCAAAATTCCACTCTTCGGTGCCACAGAAGTTAGAACAGAATCTTCTGTGGATGAGCCCAGAGAAGCAGCTCCAGAAACCATTGCTGAAACAATACTTGAGAAATCCACAGAAGAAATGTCATCTGTAAAAACAGAAAAAACAGCATATGAAGCAGATAAAGAAGAACCCAAAGATAAAGTAGACATGGCAGATAAAAAAGCAGAGATTTCTCTTTCTGAAGGTAAAGTAAAAACTCCCGAAGCAGAAACAGAATCAGAAGGCCGGACGCTTCCATCATTCAGGCTGCCAACATTTTCCTTATTCGGCACATCAGAAATGAAAGCAGAAGATGCTTTAAAAGAAATATCTACAGAACCTGCAAGAAAGACAACAACTGAGACAGAGGTAGTCACAGAGGCTAGAACCACTATTGGTGATACCAGTGAAACAGATGAATCATTTCCAAAGTCAGAAGAAAGTGTGCACATCACCAAAACAATAGTGGAGAGCGTAGTGGTGGAGGGCCAAGAGAGAAGCATAGAGGAAATGGAAAGTGCTTGGAAAGTTTCACTATCATCATTCCAAATTCCAGTACTGAGTAAAGAAGAACAAAGCCTGAGTATTGCTTTCAAAACAATCTCTTTCATCGATGACATTGACAGGCGTGAGATTGTCACAGACATTCTTACAGCAGAGGGCAAAGAGGAGGTGGAGCCCGTGCAATTAGAATCTTCATTTGAAGCACCCACAACCGAAGAATCCAAATCTGACATAACGGGAGCAGTTGTGGAAAAAGTATACACTGAAGAGGTAAAGTCAGAGGCATCTGAAGAGTCACCAATACCCAAAGAGCGTGACACAGATAAGGAATTGAAAATTGAGGTACAGGAAACTGTAACAGAGGCGATTTATTTAGATAAAGAATCACCTACTGATGGTGTGAAAGTAAAGGGCAAAGTGAGAAAGCACAAGAAAAAGATCACAAAGGTTGAGAAAACCATCACAACTGTACAGACCGCTAGTGTAGAATCCATTTCTACACCACTGGAGTTCCATCTCACTACCCCTGAAATTAAGAATGTAGAGAAAGAGGGTGAAGTAAAAGAAGTTTCTCCACAAACCCAAGTGACAGTGTCGATTTATAAAGAACAAGTAACTGTCAGCACACCAGAACCTGAAACCATCACGGTGGAAGTAGCCGTTAAAACTGAAGAGGGCGTAGAGAAAGAAGAGGCTATACAGGAGGTCTCGACGGTCTTTACCGAAGTAACATCTGCAGTGGTAGAGCAGGAGGAAGTATCATCCGGATGGAAGTTGCCCACATTCAAAATTCCACTCTTTAGTGCCACAGAAGTTTCAACAGAATCTTCTGTGGATGAGCCCAGTGAAGCAGCTCCAGAAACCATTGCTGAAACAACACTTGAGAAATCCACAGTAGAAATGTCAACTGTAAAAAACAAAAAAACAGCATATGAAGCAGATAAAGAAGAACCCAAAGATATGGTAGACACGGCTGATAAAAAAGCAGAGACTTCAGTTTCCGAAGGCGAAGTGAAAACTCCCGAAGCAGAAACAGAATCAGAAGGCTGGAAGCTTCCATCCTTCAGGCTGCCAACATTTTCCTTATTCGGCACATCAGAAATGAAAGCAGAAGATGCATCAAAAGAAATATCTATAGAACCTGCAAGAAAGACAACAACTGAGACAGAGGTAGTATCAGAGGCTAGAACCACTATTGGTGATACCAGTGAAACAGCCAAATCATCACCAAAGTCAGAAGAACGTGTGCAAATCACCAAAACAATAGTGGAGAGCGTAGTGGTGGAGGGCCAAGACAGAAGCATAGAAGAAATGGAAAGTGCTTGGAAAGTTTCACTATCGTCTTTCCAAATTCCAGTCCTGAGTGAAGCAGAACAAAGCGACAGTGTTGCTTTCAAAACAATCTCTTTCATCGATTCCACTGACAGGCGTGAGATAGTCACAGACTCTTCTGAAACAAAATTAATTGTGGCAAATAAAGAAGAGAATTTACAAGTCAGTTCATTAGAATATGAAACCAACATTTTGGATATTTCTGTAAAATGTGAAGATGATTTACAATCACAGTGTCAACAAGAAACATCAGTGATGTCAACTGAGAACTCTATGCCAGTGAAGATTTCAATGGAAAAGTTAGAAGCTGATGAAATTGTAACAGATCCTGAACTGAAGACTGAAACATTGGAAAGTGTTCTGGAAATGGATTCTACAGAGCAAATGGATAACAAAGAAAAATCAAGGTTTTCTGAAGGTGAAAAAATCAGTTCTAAGTCGGCAATGATTTCAAAGGCCAAATTAGGTGTTAGTATTGTTGCAGAAAGTATTAATATATCCAGTGAAGATACTAAAGTTACTAATTTGCAAACTTTTGAAAAGGACCCAGTTTCAGATCGTAAGTTAAAATCCTTAAGGGAAGGAAAGCTGAAGTTTTATTCTACTGATATAGCACCCAGTCATCATGAATCCACTGCTGATCTGCATGCTTCTAATTTGTCCGTTTCAGAGAGACGAAGAAGGATAATCTTTCCTCAACTGTCACTACCATCGTTTGGCGTTACTGTTCTCCACGAAAGTATTTCCATTTCAGATGAAGATAGCCCCACTACTAATATCAGTTTCACAGACAAAATACACAGGAGTCCTAAAGCTGTTAATATTTCTTTGTCCCAAAAGGAAGAAGGGGCAGCTGATACCTCCACTTTGCACATGACAATGGTGTCAGATGCCAAAGAAGCCAAACAAGATGGAAACATTGAGCACCAGCTAAATAAAGATATAATGAAAACTATAGAAAGCATCAATCTTAAAGTACAGCAGCTTAAATTGGTCGATGAAGAATATGAATATCCAGAAAAAGTATCTCCAGAATTTCAAATATCTAAATTGTCCTTTGACAACTCTATTACTAAAACAAGGCTTGTTACAGATGGTATTCACGAACACAATCTTTTGTCACAGGGTATCACTGACCAAGTTCTGTCTGCAGATGAAAGTGAAGTTACCCTTGAAATGTCTGATGTTATCCATACACAAACATCAAAATCTGAAGAAAGTTTATATGCTCTTACAAGTTTTAGTGGTCTTTCTGATACAAAAGCTCTTTCTGAGTATACAGAATCAACACACAGTGATAGCTTACATGCCAGTAGTGTAGCACAGTCTCCAGTTACTGAGTCAACCAGAATACATTTTCCTCAGTTTTCTACCCCAAAGCTCAGTGTTGCTGTTATGGGAGAAAGCATTCATATTGAAGATGATGAGTCTACAAAAGCTAAATTAGATTACTTCCTGCTTGAGGAAAATGTACAAAGACAGCTGTCAACAGAAAAAGAGGTGATTAAAACTGCTGGTGAAGCTTCGGAATCTCCAGGATGGAAATTTCAAATGCCAAGTTTTAAGATGAATATTTTTGGTAAAACTGATAAAACATCTGATACTTCTCTAGATTCTGGTAGAAGTGCAAATGAGAAAGCAGATAGTGCACTCCAAGATGATGCTGAGAATCATAAACTAAAGGCAGATCATGAAAAACAGCCACCAGTTGAAGAAAAACTTAGAAGTCCATTCAAGTTGCCATCTTTTAAACTCCCATCTCTTAGTTTAAGAGGAAAGAAAGAAAAAATGAGTGAGTCACTGAGTATAGATTTGCCAGACACTGACGAAGTAGCCTCACAAGAAGAGCTACCTACTGAAATTGAAAGAAATAAAGATACTGGAAAATTAAAGGATGCAACTGAAAGTAGAATAGAAGGTGAAACTGTAAAGGCAGGTCTACTTAGCACAAAAGAAGAACAAGCAAAGATAAAGCTTCCTAAACTTGATTTTTCTAAGCCTTCTATGAAAGTTTCTAAAGGTAGTACCAATCTAGCGGCGGAGTGTTTGGATGCTAATATTTCTGAAGTTATTGAAAGCAAGGATGGTGAAGTTGAGGTACAGGATGATACTAGTGGGGCCTCTCCTGGGTCGCCTGGAGTTCAGAAAATAGAAAAAAGTGAAATACATGTGCAAATAATTCATGAATTAGCCGAGGAGGTCAGGATTGAGTTCCCTTATTTTAAAACACCATTGATTTCTGCTATCATTCCTCAGGATGTCACTTCTGAGACAGCAGATTCACACCAAGACTCGCATGATGAGGTACACACAACAGAAATTAAAGATGAGCATGCCATTAGCAAGGTATACAAAACACCACTTCGTAAAACTGAAGCTATAGACATGAGCGGTTACATACCTGAGGCTGAAAATCCAGAATTTGTTTCGGAGGAGCTAAAAGACATTTCTATTTCTTCTCAGCAAGACGTTAGCGGTTCCAAAATCAGGCCAACAAGGAAAGCAATTAAGATATCTTTCTCCAAAGTAAAGATGCCCATTTTAACGCTTTCTGCTCCCCGAGAAAAAGAATCTTTTGATATTACAAGTAGGCATGATGGGCCTGGACTGGATCTTCCAGAATATGACCTAAGCAGTAAAGATGAATTGCCAGCTGTAGACATTACTTGTGTAGCAAATCAATCAGTCCAGGACATAACTGAAGCATTGGAGTCAAGTGATACTGCAAATGTAGAGAGAAGTGAAACAGATCAGATAAGGCCACATCAAGAAGGGGCTACAGCAATTGAAAAAGAAGAGACCAGTGAGAATGCAGAACCTCAACATGTTAGCATATTGGAATCTGTTTCTCTTAAAGAGCATGAGAAAGTCATCCAAAATATAATACAAACAGAAACGGCTACTGCAGATTCTAGCACATCTATAAGTAAAAGTCAGCCTGTAGATGGACATGAGACAATCAAACTCTCCCACATCAGCTACATTAGATTTGGAGCCCCCTCTCCAGAAGCAACAAAGGAATCAATGGGTAAGAGCGACATAGAGTTATATTCAGACAGTAGTTCAGGGGACATTCATAGTGAATATGATAATGTGTCCCCAGATGCAATCAAGCCAAAAAGCAAGAGCATCAAGTCATCCTCTTTTACCTCCGGAATTGTTAAAGAATATGACATTTCTACCTCTGAAATGCCAGCTTATGGATTTTCACTTTTCAAGGTCAAATTACCTGAGGTCAGCACTAGTATAACCACAAAAGACTTAGAAAATCAGAATATTGATGACGGATATCAAAACAAGCCAGGGCTTTCTGTGGAAATGAATACAGAAGCTTCACAATCTCCTGAAACCAGGTTGGAGAAATCCAAAGATGAACTCATAAGAAGTGAGCTGTCAGTATCCCCTGAAGTCCACATAGAAAAGTTGATGACATTTGCATTTGAGATGAAGTCTCCCACACACACAACTGCCATCAGTTTCCCCATACATGCTAAGGATTTAGAAGTTGCACATCCTGAAACAACTGAACAACTAGCTCCGAATAACCAGGAAGAGCAAATAACCATAAAAGAAAAGGAAGCTATTCCAAAATCACCAAGCAAATTTAGGCTCTGGATACCCAACATTGGCTTCTCTTCTTCATTAGATCAGGGTGAAAGCAAAAAAGTTGACCACGAGGAACAAAAAACAGAAGTTTCTAAGCCTGAAAAAGAATCCTTGCCATCAAGCAAAGAGAAGGTTCCTTGGTATAAATTTCCAAAACTAGGGTTTTCTTCTACAGAAAAGCAAAAATCAGACGACAAAGAAACAGTAAAGAAGCCCGAAGCTTCTACAATAACTGAACCAGAAAATATAGAGATACAAACTTCCTCTGTAGTGCAAAGTGCACAAGCATCTCTGGCAGAACCCGAAGACTTTATGGTAAATGAAACAGACCTTGGTGGAAGTGGGACCAAACCGACAAAATAAATAAATACAGTCTGCCAAAAGAACATTTTTTTATTCGAGGCCGTGCGGGCTCAAAGAGAATAACATGAAAAAAATGGGATAGAAACATGAGTTTAATTATGAACAAGAATGTGCTAAGTCAGATTCTTTAATGATTCTATTATAATGAAAAATACTCTGACACTTCAAGAAAACCTGCAGGGAGAGAAACATCAAGGCCGGAATTGCTTCCCTTTCCTTTAAAAAATGCCAGCTGCCGGACGGTTATACCGGTCCATTAGTTTAAGTACTTATTAAGTCACTGACCTGCAAGATGTATGCAGGCCACAAGTTTTCATTCCATTGTGACTTTACTGTCTGCATGCTTCTTCTTGGGTCAGTTACTCAAAGTGTTTACACCAGAGAAATCCAGGCAGATAGAATTTACAGGAAAAAATCACGAACAAAAGACTACAAGGCACTGGTGCCGACATACTGCCCAACCAGTACTAGACGCAAAACACAAAGTTAAAGTTTCAAAGTATATATGAAGCCAAAACTTTACAATTCTGGAGTATGAAATTGTTGTTTTTTTTGTTTTCAACAAAAGGAAGTTAGAGAAAATCTCTCAGAATTAATGTGAAATAAGTTCTTAGACTATTGTCACCAGAACTTATGCCCCCATTGAGGATTTCCCCCCTATTTCTGTTTCAGTGACAGCTGCAACATTTTGGATAGCTCATGACTTTCGGTCCTGATGACAATGGTCACCAGGACAAATTAAAATCTCACAATAATAAAAACCTCGTATATACTGAATAATCCTCCTCACACCTGTACCTCTTTTGTCAATAAAGTGGGTGAACAGTCTACAGTGGTACAATGGTGAACTCCTAATGTAGAAACTGGCCAGCACCCCGGAAGCTTGACTAGCTCCTCACTCTATCCAAATTTAAGCCAATGACTCCACATGTGGCAAATCTGGTTTTAAAGTTGTAATTTTTGCTTCCACTATGAGGTATACTTTGCTAAGTCCTGACTATTCTGCATATCAGGTGCCATACCGGTATAGAAGGCATTGCTTTCAACACATACTAAATATAATAAGCCAAATTCTATGTACAAATGTGTAAAATTGTGTTTATGACATATCAAAAGTTTTTATCCCTGCCAAATGTATCAATGTATCAATCAAGCTCTTCCCTCCTTGCAGCCTTGTTAGAGAGCAGTGCTTCTGTCTCTTTTATTACTGGTCATGTGACAGCATTTTTAACAGGCCAGAAATGGCAGCCCTATTATTTTCCTATAAATTGAAAAGGCAGATTCCCTAACCTATGAACTTACACAAAATGTGCAATGCCGTTTATGTAGCTGCAGCCTAACAGACATTTTTGTATTGTATGACGTGTTATGTTATGAAGGATCAAGCTACCCTAAAGTAATATTTCATTTATCACTATGGCCTGGTGCGCTAAATCACCCTCCAGTTACTGATTTCTCTTAAAGGGCTCCAGTAATGATATCTCCCAGCACTGGTATTCCTGCCCAGTCCCATCTGGTTCTCTTTCCCTATGTTAAATCCTCCAAAACAAGAAAATAGAGGCCCCTTAATAATACAGTAAATTTGTTGACTTGGGAACTTAAAGTAGATCTGAACCCTAACTGAATGGCCTATATTTTGTTGAAGCACCATGTATCACAAACAATTCAATTTTTTCCATAAAAATACTGTATTTACCATTTAATCCCTTTTTTTGCTAATCTCCTTTACCCTTTTTAAGCTACTTCCTGTGTACATGCACTAGCTCCAATATCAGCTGCACATCATTGCACTGTACCGGCCTCTTGATATGGACAACTGTAGACCATGTCTGTGCAATGTGTGTCAGTATGGCTGCTTGGAGTTTCTACAAGGGGTGCGTGTGACAATGCGGTAGCACAATTGAAAGTTGTCACCCCATTACAGGAAGTGTTTAAACAAGTTACATTAAAATGTTGAAGCTTATACTGAGATTGTGTTTAGATCTACTTTAAGCTCAAAGAGCTCAACAATGGAATTCCTAGAGATGAGATAAACTATTAGATGTTTTAATTTTGCTCAGGTTGGATATATCTGTATTGGGTGTAATGGAACTTTGCTGATTACTTAAAACACAACAATGAAAATGGTCTATAATTTCAAACCCAGCTCAGTCATGGGGTACGTAATTAACTTTACAGCCTTCTTTAATATATCATTGGGAGCATCCTCTAACTTATTACTCAAATACAATGCTCCTCTTTTATATGGGAGATTGGTCTTGGCCACATTTGTAATTGGAGAAAAGTGATTTACCAAATACATCTTTATAAATAGCACAGACAAGAGCAATGGTGTTCAGTGCTCCACAGCAACCAATCAGAAATCAGCATTTAAGAGTTGTAATTACACTAACTGTAACACGAAAACTAAGCTAGCAGAGTTCTGACTGGTTGCTTTGTATTACAGATTACCTTTGCGTTCTCTCGGCTGTTTTATTTGATAGGTTGCTGTAGAGAATTTACATAAATACAAGGTGGATGGAGCCCTGGATCTGGGGGTGTCACCAAGATTATTTAACGGATAAAAAAGTTGCAGCCTAGTTGAAAAAAAGTATGCACAGCTGGAAGTAGTTAAGTGAAATGGTATTCCTGAGTACTCAGCAGCTACACAGCACCCAGCATATCCTCAACATGAAGATGCATGATTCTTTGGAGACACTGGTGAGATGGCACATTTCATCAACTGGATCCGGACATTGTGCTGATAGCAATCATCAGCTGGAATGGAGATTCGCCACTGGGAGTGATACACTCCAGAGCCATGGTGGTTGAGCCACTCACCTTACTACGTCATGTCTGATGGACCAAATCCTTGAAAAGAAAAGAGTGTCCACGAGGCAGCTGGGCACCGGCATGGCATCACTGCTGAAGAACATACTCGTCACTGGATGCAAAAGGAAATCTTATCTGGCTGTGACATTACTTCAGCTGCTTAATGTGGTGACAGCTCCGGAGGTCAGCAGTATGCAATTTAACCACCCTGTAGTTATATGCAATGTCATATCATTCTCCACTTTTCCCCAAAACTTGTTGGCTGCTTGGGTTTGTCTTCCCTATAAAATAGGCTACATAACCCAGAGAGATGGTGGCACCATCATTATACTGGTTTTCTTTATCAAGTTCCTAAAGCTGGCCTGTACACCCTATAGTCTAATCCTACAATTTACGTTAGATGTAATATGAGGGCCTACCGAACCAATCCATCCAATATGTATCCAGTCAGGTTTTCCCTTGTACTCTATAGTTGTTGGCAGATCTAAAAAGATTGAACCTTCAGATTGCAACATCTGTTTCTTATGATTACAATGAGCTGAAGGTGATAAATACAGGAGAACAAAACCAAACTAAGTGATAAAACATACATAATGAAAAGTGATCTCCTAATACCTTTATACAGAGTTCCACAAATGATGGTCCTGTTTCACTAAATTCAGATTATATTTCTGACAACAGGTTTGTTCCATGTGCCATCACACACAATGCAATATCGTCCACAGTAAACATTCATCAAACACTTGGATACAAAATCATTGCTGGGGGAGCTTGCATGTAAATATCTTGCAGAATGCAGGCACTGTTATAGCTTACCGTAATAATAAAACATGTACATATTTAATGTTATGTAAGCTTACAGGTGATTTTGATCCTTTCTGGAGTTTTCCAATTAGTTTGTAGGTCTGCTTATTCACTATTCATGAATCTGGAGCATAATCTGCTGATCGAAAAACAGAAATCAAATTGTACCGCAGAAAAAACATTTTTACAAGGCATTATTTCAGCTCCGGTAGTGTTATTTTATTGAACACACATATACATTTAGCCTGCTACAATTAGGAATGTGCAAAGTACAGCAGACCATTCTAACCAATCAAAGATCATTCTGAGTTTAATATGAGAATAGATACTGCACTGTATTCCATATCATGTGAAATCTCTCCAACGGGGACACAAACAAAACATAAACATTTTTTTTTTAGTTTATAAGGAAAAGGTTAATCCTTCTTAAAATGTTTTTATTACTGCCTGTAACTTCCTCTTCCCGTGACAACAGCACCTACCTCTCAATTGCGTGTACGGATGTCACAGGGACAGGAAGTAAGGGGAAATTTCCCCAACGGGGTCACAGACAGAAAGAAAAATGCTGCAGAAATGTTATCTCTTCCCCACTCTATCCAAAGGTTTAAAAAAAAAATGTAAGGTGTTAACATTGATTTGAAACTGAAATACCATTTTTTTGGGTAGCGTGTCCCTTTAGGCTCCCTTCACACTGTCACTCTGATTACCACACGTACATTAATGTGCCAGATTTGTGTGTTAAGATGCATTGCATTAAGCCTATTCATTAAGAACAGGCTGCTAACAACCACAATGCAAGAAGAAAAAAAAAAGTTAGATGGTCCAGGTCCGTTGTAGCATGCTAGTCTCTAAAAGTCTGAAACCCCTGCCAAGTCAAAGTTAAAGATCTCAAATCAGCAGGGAGTATGAGCTTTGCTGATGGGAGAGCTTTAGCATTGAGTCAGCAAGGGTCATCAAACCTCCGCAGAGAGACCACTGCTTCCATACAGAGGGAAAAGGTCATTTTCTGCAGCATGCTGGTCTCTCTGCAAAAGTCTGAAACCCCTGCCAAGTCAAAGTTAAAGATCTCAAATCAGCAGGGAATATGAGCTTTGCTGATGGGAGAGCTTTAGCACTGAGTCAGCAAGGCTCATCAAACCTCCGCAAGGAGACCACTGCTTCCACACAGGGAACAAATGTCCTTCTTTGCAGCATGCTGGCAGGGGACAATATTTTTTTAAACAAAACAAACTGTTTAATGGAATATATCTAGTTGATTTAAGCTGAAAGTTCCGTTAGGCTTTATTAGGTCATCCCCACCACCTTCGCATTGACAATTTATCCCAATAACACAGAATGGTGAAGAAAAAAAGTCTTCCATAAGCGTATTATGTCAGGCAATAAAAAGGGTTTATCTGCAAGGAGGAGGAGGAGCCTTAAACATTCGCCAAGGTCAACATATTCCAAGTGTGTATAAATGTCATGATCTACGTTGCTGCTTCCTTTAACACACAGGTATACAGTGAATGTCCTGTGTCTTTTTTCTGTGCGGGGTTTCAATTCTGATCTTTGAGAATATAATATATTTGTAAAATGGAGTTTGAGCTGTCTTGACTGTTGTGTATCTGAGCTCTTCAAATTATACTGTATATAAAAGCTTTAGGGATGGTGTCAGCATTCTTGTAGAAGTATATATTATTGACTGTCAGATATAATTTCAAAACTATCTCAATATGCAGTACAATAAAAAAATATTGTTTTTTTATTATTTACCCTGTGTGTTTATTTTGGCATAAATGTTGACTTGTATGACTGAATCAAGTTTAAGTAAATATGAACTTATCTTTTGTCTGTGGTTATCATTTTGGAATCGCCCTTTGGATAAAGAAAGTAAGCCCATAGTAGTGAAAAAAACAAACTTGACCCAGATAAGAACTTGCTTTGACGGACACTGCACAGCTAGCACTTACACACAATGCAATACTTGCATTTGGTCAATTCCAATCAAGAACCAAATTGTATGGAGATGAAAGGAGGCGAGTGCTAAGCCGTTAGGATTGGTGTCGAAATTAATTTGTATTTATCACAATTAAAGGGTCTATCAAAAGTTGACAGCCTACTAATTTAGTGATCAAGTCTTTAATGGAGGATTTATCAAAACTGGAGCAGACATAATTTGAAGCAGCTGTGCATGACAACCAATTAGCTTCTCTCTTTCATTTTTAAACCTTAACTGAAGAAACTGAAGAGAAAAGCTGATTGGTTGCCATGCACAGCTGCTCCAGGTTTTGTCTGCTACAGTTTTGGTAAATCCCCCTTTGTTTTAGTACTTCTTTGAAGTTTCAACCATTACTGTTATATAAAACTTGTCTCTATTGTATTACAGTCCTATGGGAAGGTGGATTTGTGAATAAACCTCAAAATGCATAAGGCTGTTCACTTGTTAAAAACCCTTTCTATTGTGAAAAATAAAAATTAATATTTGGACAAATTTGAGGTTTCTGCAGCTCTCAGGCTGCTTCTTGATTAATATATCACCAATCATGAGGAGAGAAGCTGCTCTACCAAGATGATCACCGATACACAGAGACAGAGTGTAGGACAAGACATGGTAAATCAGCAATGGAGAAAAATATTGCTAACTTTATCTTCGGTTTGCCTTTTTTGGTCACTGTTCAGGTCCTCTTTAAGTAATAGCAATGGCTGAGCTTACCCCTGCTTTTCCTTTTTCTTCAGAAGGAATGAAAATTTAGCCAAGTAACCTAATGAAAGAGTTAAGATGTAAAAATTCTACCGACTGGATTTGGTTGAAAGAGAAGAGGACCTGTAGCTCTGGTGGCAAAACCATTAGGCTGGTTGCTAATACATATGGTTTGTACATACCAAATCAGAGCCTTCTGATTTAGGTTTGTGAACTCTTGCTTGCGCACTCTTGGAAGAATGATCTTTACCAAATATCCACCTGCAGGGGTACTCACCGGCTACTTATGACCACATACACAGGTTGGTCATATAGTGCTCATGTAACACTCATTAACCCGCTGGTCATCTTCCCATAACACGATGCTGCTCCCACTACTGCTGTCCGTTGAAGCCCCAACTCACGCTGTTCCCCAGAGACAACAGAATGCTCTTTCACCAGCCTACAGGTCCACTCCTTGAGTCTTCTTTCATCCACGTCCACAACGACACACATGATAAGGTTCGCAAACAAACTAGAAGCGAACAGTCTAAAACTGTCCTATGAAAACTTGTCATTTGTAAAGAAATACACAAAATGTTTAATTGTACACAGACTTCACCAGTAGCTAAGAGGGAGTCACTTAGTCCCAATTCACACCTTTGGGTTCTGTGAATGTACGTTCACATGTTTTTTCCCAGGTTTGCTGCACGTCACCCATCAATTTCAATGGGTGCCGCACAGTCGACAACGTGGGAAAGTAGCTCATGTAGCAGATCCTGCTACAGGTATACCGTGTATTTTCACCACGTGTTTGTATGTGTTTAATTCGCGATGTAAAATGCACGTTTTCCCAGCCGCATTTAACTGGCAAGCGTTTACAGAACATGAAGGTGTGAACAGGGACTGAATGTGAAACAAGCCTATATTTTGAAAACTTATTGACCTGTAATTTACACAGCTTTGCCAGGTTTGTGACCTTAAATTTTCTCTACTGTATTTAAGCAACAGAGCCTGGCCACCTCTTTTCCCCCAGCCTCTGATTGGACATTGACGGAACAGCAGCAGACTTATGATATCATCACTATCCACACGCCTCCTGTCAACAGATATGCATGATACAGTGTCTCACGGGCTCAGAATATTGACCCTCCCTGACTATTGTCATTGAGAAAGTGATGGGAAATACAATATTTTAGGGTTGTCCATAGAACAAGAGGTGAGGGGAAATCTTATGGGGTCTGTTGTCTAAGAGGGAAATTCCCATCACTTTGGGAGATTTTTCCAACTTCCTTTTACATCTCTGGGACAGGAAGTGAAAGGAAATGTCCCCAATGATACGCAGACAGTAAAAAAAAAGCTGACAAGGTTTTTAACCCTTCTTTAAAAAAAAATGATATACCTGCATTAAAATGTGCTCTTTAATATCGGTCTGTGAAAATGAAGACTGCATCCAAAACCAAAACACCAAGCAGAATTTTGCATGAAAAAAGAATGATTTATTACAATATCTCATGGAAAAAAATTAGAGAAAATAGTAATCTATTTTATCTCAAAAACAAACATTACCACTTTTGAACATAATGTACAGATGGCATTGAAATAAATTACTATTCAAAATAAACAAAGCATTGAATAATGATTTTTTTTTTTCTTATCCATAAAATGTTACAGCTCCGGGTGCGAAAAAAAAAAATATTCAAGTTTCAACAGAATAATTCTTCAATTTACTGTAATACAGTTAAGTTGCATTTGTGTGGCATGCAAAAATCGGAATGACCTGGTGGAGATATTTTGTATTGTAAATCAAATTCAGCAGCAAGACAATAAAACTCTATGATTCTGCAATACATAGCATTGCAAGTCCTCTTGAACTGAATTGTGCAGAGAGGCACAATCATTTCAGCACAAAGCACACTTAAAGGGGCGTTTCACTTAGAAAAAAAATATATAAATCGCACCAGATAATTCAGAACTCCTTGGTTACAAACATAGAGGCATCTGCACATGAAGCTCCCAGTATTTGAAGAAATTGAAAACTACAATCCCCATTTTCACCTTCAGCTCATCATAAAGGTGAATGTGAGCAAGCAGTCTATCCAGTCAGATACCATGGCACTTTACATTTGTGTAGGAATGGAATGTAAAGGATATTTAACTTAAGAACAACATTTATTATTAGGACTTTAGATGCCCTCAGTCCTGGGAAGTAGTGAACATACACAATTTAACACTTGCTGATAGCTTTGATAGTTAGCCTGCCTTCTCCAACCTCTTGCATTTTCCAATTGGCCACTAAGGTTGCCCATCAAAGTGATGGGTCAATAGGAATATGTAAGCTCTTAGCACTATCAAGAGTGTGGACACTGATGCTTAAGAGTAGGGCCAACCAGAAAGCTGCCTGCAGAAGTCATCTTAAGAGTTGCGAGATACAGCTATTGGCTTGCAATACAGTGCTGTAGCCAGTCCAGTACAATTTGAGTACCGGCAGGTTTCTTTAACGAAGTTCTTGCCGTTGCTTAACAATGGAGCAGAGATAGGTGGCAAACTCTTCATATTACTACACCAATACATCTGAATCATCTGCAGGTGGTTTTAATCCTTAATGGAATATCCCTTTAATTGAAAATTTAAAGGACAACTTCACTTGGCCGATATTAGTGGGGAGGATTAAGGATTAAGGAGAAAACAGTCTTTACAAAACACCCACCCATATGCTGCCATTCGATTGATCTTTGGACATCAAGAACCTCTAAGCTGCACCTTCTTTGGCTAGATGATGGGAATTTTCATATGTTGCCAGGGGATTGGCACCTAAAGCAACAAAGGGCAAATACAGCTCAAAGGCAATGTAACCAAAAACCAATAGAAGGGCATGCAGGTGAGAGCTTTTTTCCAAGCTACGATCACCTCATCTTCCCCAACCGATATCATGTACTTCAAGGAGTTGTCCTTAAAGGTTTTCATTTGCTATTTTTTCTATTCGTCACAATACTATTTGAACAACAAATATAATATTTTCTAAAAGGCAATATACAGGAGTACCATAAAGCACAAGCAGATTTTATCCTCATGCACTATGCACATAAACATTTATTTCATCTTTTACACAAAACGCTCTGACAAAATTGTTAATTTCTCACTGCTGTGCAATAACAAAAATACCACATTCTCATAGATCATTCTATAAGCAGAGGAAAGCAATATCACATCATTCCATGTTTTTACATTAACCTCTGATTTTTCAAGTACCCAGGATGAAAATATACTCATAATAGGGCTTCTTTATAAAAAAGGAAGGAAACATGGAGGGTGATACCCATAGCAAATCACAATTGTAATCTCCGAACTGGCACTAAAAAAAAATATGACAGTGTGATTGTGATTGGTTAATATCGGCAACGCCTACTAGTTTCCCTACCTCCAGGCTCCCCGAGGGGCTTCATGTATGAACAGTAATAGGAGGACTGTGTTGCCTACCGAAACCATCAGATTCTTCCATTCCTTTTATGACCCACCCTTATAAATGGAAGACTAACAGGGTTATTTACAAAAGGGTGAAGAGTTTGGAGAAGGGAGGAGAAGTGAACAATCTAGGGCAACATAGCTGATTTGGAAAGTGAGCTGGATTGGAAAATATTTCCAAATCAGCTATGTTGTCCTAGATTGTTTACTTCTCCTGCCTTCCCCAAACTCTTCAGTGAATAACTCTGTAAATATATTATAGGTTGCCATGGGCAACTGACACTTTAGGCCTGGTGTGTCAGTTATTTAAAGACAAAATGGTACTAAACAAATCATACTAAGAAATACATCTAGTGTCTTTGTAGAATTAGTGCAATAAGAAGAAGTGGTCAAAATGTAATTACTATTAACAGAACATCTTGTTTTAAAGGCATCATAGATGCACATAGATAAACAGATCGGGCATTTGATAGAGCAGTGACAAACTGCAGCTGTAATGAGTACGAGTACAAAGGCCTACGTCTTTGAACACATTTACTGGTCATAAACATCAGCTTAATGTATAAAGTGCATCTGAGGCCTGAACTTTGTGGAGGCCGCCATACTGTCTGAAAACAAGCAGTCAGCAGAAACAAGTATGGACAACGTCGCTCAATTCTGTGCTTGAGGGCCACATCTAGCAATAATATAAATTTTTTAGTTTTCGAAATTCGTCAAATTTTTAATTGAGGTGGAAATGAGGTGAAATCTCCACAACGTGGACACAGATCTGTGAACAATTTTCTACTAGAAGCATAAGAACCTCTGTTAGTTTTCATTGTTCTTGGTGTTACTACTGGGGAGATTCTCCTCACTTCCTATCCAGGTGGTAGGTGTCAGACAAAACAGGAAGTTGGGGGGAAAATTCCACAGGGGGTTAAAATCAGAATTCTCTACCCAGGAAACTTAGTCTGACACTGGGGTCGGATTGTAAAAATACACTGTCCAGGGGTGATTGCCACTATGAATAGTAATGAATTGGAGGAGACGGTTCAGGGAGAGCTCAGTTGTAATATACACAGATTTCTTGAAAAGCACAGAGGCGGCCATTTCCATGAGGATGTGAAGAGGAACGCTAACAATGTGTTCATATACAGCAACTAGATATGCCTGCTTCATGCCACTCTGTGTACTTTGCTGGCATATGTTTTTTTTTTTTTAAATACCTCTGGAAAGGTGGAAATTGGGCTTTAAGCGGTTGAAAGGCCATTTTTGATTTGGTGACAGTGTCTTTCCACGCTACTTCTCAGTGCAACAGAACGTATTTAACAAACTGTTACAGACTATAACCAATCAGAACACTTTTCCCATCTAAAGTCTATTAGTAGTCCATTTCTGTCTGAGGCCCCAGGAAAGTAAACTAGTTTTAGGCAGGTAAATAAAGCTGAAATACAAACTTCTGGTCCTTTACAGTCAAGGAATGTACCATCTTGCCATTTGAGGGCTTGAAAGTTCTGTCGAGAGCTAAAATAAGCACACTGGCAACATTGACAGTTGGCATGCCTTGAAAGTAACTGTTTTGTTGGGTCTAGTTCTGCTTTAAGCTGTCCCTCATAAATAATAACCTGTTACCAAATGGCGCTATCCCCCATATTCAGGCAACCGGTGCACTTTACCACAGAACTGGACTTCACATGCTGAGAAGAGTGAAACCTATATCGCTGTTCCTGTTTCATAGCTGGGAATTACTGAGGCTGAAAAATACAATCTTGTGATTTGCTCTTTGGCTGGTTTCCACTGACTAAACACAATGCACAGTAATTATAGTTTCAAGTTTATTCGAGATGAGCCACTGAAGCATGGTGTAACACACATTACAAAAGGGGAGAGGGAGAATTCCTCACTTCACACACTAGTCACATTCAGCTCTACAATATAGAACCCGTACATCCTTCCACCAGTGTGACCACTACAATTAAGGGTTGTGCTTTGTAATGAGGCATGGGCATTACTTTGGAATCTAGAAGTTTCCCCAAGCAATTTTGTTTAATGTTGAAGTGTCATTTACCATATGTTCCCATCCTGCCACACAATGCCACTCATCAGTTTGGGAGTCTGTAGTTTTGTAAACAACTATAAGAAAGTTTCATCACCAACAATGTTCTCTGTGATCTGTTACTGTGTGATAACAGTCTCTCTATATGTGACCTCCATTTCTGAGTGAACCTGTGCTTTGCCCATGCAAAGCAAAGCAAGAGTTTCACATCATTACCCCATCCCCAACAGCATATACTTGACTTCCTTTTGCTCTACCACAAGTGGGAGAAGAATCTTTGAGTAAGCTCAGAATTGCAATAGACAAAGCTTACGCAGGGATGAGGGTCTCTCTACCCACCTCTGTGTGACAGCGTTGAGCCAATCAACAGCAATGTGCCATGAAGAAGGGTAGCGAATTGCATGCTCCTACACACCCAGAAATACCATCTATTTTCTTCATTCCTACCAGCTGAATGGAGCTGGGATGCTAGGGAAGGGGCACTAGAGCAATCTCCATTGTTACTTTTTTAAAATCTGTACCCCAGCTTTTCTAAAAATAAAAAAAAAACAGCCAATACTCACGTCTGCTCCAGCACTATCTCCCAAAGACTCACCTGCTCCGTAGTCCAACACCAGGC